CTTTACTACTTCTGCAACATTTTTATCAATCACCATTTTAGTTTTCCATTGAGGCATCCTTTTAATATTACCATGAATTCTTGGCAGAAGACCATTGTTTATCAGATGATTTCTAATATTTTCAAAATAAGTCCTACCAATTCCTAACATCTTGAGATAGGTTTCTTGACAAAGAGGTGTATTGTGATCTCAATGGTAGAAAATTCTTTTATTAGATCTGGTTTTCTTTTTAAGGCATCTGCTAGTGCTTGTTGACCCACCATCCATTGTCTTAAGTTGGGCCATTAAAAATATGTCTTGCTCTGGTTTAGAAAGAGCTTGAAAGGATTCCCTTCCTTCTGCAAATTGTTTCTTGGGAATTCTTGAAGAACAACCACAATTACATCCTTTTTCTAAAAAATCAATTGCTTTTTGATATTCATTAGAACCATTGCATTTATTACTTTTCATATATGGATAATCCTATATATTAGTTTTACACTTCACTGGTTTTGTTTAAAAATAAATAAATAAAAATAGTTGATCATTTAATGTTTGTTTAATTATTTAGTTAAGATTTTTTTGAATTTTTCTTTTCTGCACCAGTTTCTAGTGCTGCGGATTCCAATTCTTACAATATGTCACTGAAAAGCTTTTCATACATATTAATTAATATTAATGTAATAATAATACATATAATAAAATGGCAATGATTTTTTGTTTTCATTTTTATTAGCAAAAAATTAGTTGTAATTCATATAAATTTCATTCTCAAAAGGCATTCTTAAACTAAGAAATTTTTAGAACATAATTAACATAAAAGTTATTACATAAACATTAACTAAGATTATTGCTATGTACAATCAGTTCATCATTAATATAATTAAAAATACCAGAGCTATCTATGAATCGAGTATTCATTCACACACTTTTAAACTCTTCATCATGCAAGAAGTGTACAATATTAAGTTTGCTCAATTCTTCATTAGATGGATAATAGGGATTTTGGGTTGAATTATCCTCACATGTGAAATGTACTATCCAAACATCTTCTGCAGATAGCTTATTCCCATATCCAAGTGCTCGTACAAAGTGTTCATTGAGTTGTGTTTTGGTTGCAGTAGCTAGAAGTTCCAAAACAATCATCTGATATGGAGTTTTAATTACAATATCACTATATCTGTGTTTATCTTTTTTGTTGGCATGATATTCTACCAAATGCCACTGACAAGTGACCTCAAAATTACGTTGTTTGGAAATCCAGTTGATTAAGATCCTGTTCATCTCTGTATCATAGACACTTTCTCAGGGAACATGTTTGTTTTTTAATGTCATCCTTCCATGAAGCCTTTTACATAATAAATAAAGTCATTTTTCAATGATATTAAAGTGATTATCAATTATATTAAATCATTTATCAATTTCATTAAACCAAGTGTTCAGTAATTTTTGCAATGATAGGTGATAATAATTAAATTTTAACAATAGGTTTAATCCTAGATTGATTCATCTTATTGATACAAAGACTTGTTGAAGTTCCACCTGCTAAAATTGACTCAACACAAATTCACTCTAATGAATATTTTTTTTTTTTTGAATAAATTTGCTCTAAGTTATGTTTTATTTTTCCATTTAAACTTTTGTTAAACAATTGCAAAGACTTTTATCTTTCATATGGATATATATTTTGTGATTAGAACTTGATTAACCCATAAATTTGAATTATCAATATGTTTCTAATAAGATAAATATAATTTCTTTTTTTTATCTAATAATAATCAAAGAGATAAAAAACTGAAATTGTTAATAAATTGATTAATTTATCTTGTTTAAAAAATAATCATTTTTTTTTAATGCAACAATATTAAGAACAGCAAATAATATAGTTTAAAATATATTGTGTCTAGTTTAGTTTTATCTTAAATTGACAATTATGAACTTTTAATATTGTGAATAAAATGATATCCGGGATGGTATATCAAAATCCTTGGGTATATACTTAATTATACAACGGTATATACAAGAGATATATACTATAGAAATAATCAGTGACGTTACGTTCCACGTGAGTGGTCCTTTCGTTGTACAATAAATTATATATCTCAAATAAATTATTTGACTGTGAAGTCAAATATCTTAACGTGTCCTAAAATTTATTGGTTAACCATAACAAAATCTCAACAGAATGTATATTCCGACTGCTGAATCCACAACAGATTTCTCAAATATGTGATCACGAACTAAATAAACTAAATCAAATAAGTATCAGTGACTTACAAACACTGCCAATATTTAAATTGGACTTCCCAATTGATATCTACTCTAAATTTCAATATCCGGTTGAACCGGAGCCTTAATCGACTAACAAAAACGTTTAATAAATAAAGTATTTATTAAATTGGCAAATCCTGACGGCACTTCAAGCCCTCTCCAAAGGCGTTCCAAAGGAGTTATTAATTAAAGGTAAAATAGAAAGTTTTTATTAAGCGAAACTCAACAATTTTTTAGGTCAAAGATTATTTATTATTAATTTGTATTATTATTATTATATTTTTCGAATCCCACGAAGGATGATATTGAACAAAGGTAATTTTAAGAGCGTTTTTATAGCTTTTGTTCATTACATTTCAATATTTCTATTCTAAGTATTTCTTGAGCTAATCTCTTTTACTATAGACGAAATTTTGGATATAACAAGTAATTTTTCTAATGATTGGTACATTCAATTTATAATCCAAAGTTTCTAAGAATTCTACGAATGTACTCATGACTACTCTTATGGCCTATGTTTATATTTTCGTTAAATATAAATAAGTAAAGTATAATAGTAGGGGTTCCGGGACTTTAGTCCTGGTCCGTCCTTAAATAAGAAATAATAATATAATGCATAATAAAATATAAAAATTATGATAAAACTATTACTAAAGATAAATATAAAGATATTATACTGGTTTCCGTTCTATATTTGGTAAGATACAGGCCTAGCTACCAGTGACAATGTTACATTTTTAGTTGTGTTACGTGGTAATTTTTTACTATGACAATGCTCCGTGTAACTTCTTTTTTCTGCGGGTCATATGTTTAGATCTCGTGATACATCGCTGCGGAAGGGAAGCGGTCCAAATTACTCGTTTCACACTGGTTAGATTTAGTGTGACAGAAATTATGACTACATAGACAGCAAAGATAGCAAAGTGAGCAGCATCTTGATCAACTTGGAGTAGTCAACAAAGGCAAATTAGCACAACAAAATTAATTTATATTTTTTTAAATCTTTTATACATATATTGGAATTATTGACAAATTTTTAAAAAAGTAATGAATAATGTATAATTAGTTTCTGAAACTATTTAAACTATTTATTATTATTATGATCATGAGCAGATTACTGATTATTTAGAAATTCAAATATATATATATATATATAAAAATCATTTTTAATTAGTTTCCAGCTAAAACTATTTTCATTAGTAACTGAAATTGCTGAAACACTTTGGGCAAAATTTGTTTTTTTATAGGCCCAAATTATTTTTTGTTACTGGCCCAAATTGGGCAAAATTATTTTAAAGTTGTTTAAGTTAAAATAAGTTGATTTGTATAGTTTTTTTAATGTTCATACTTATAAAAAATGTTGATAAGCCCAAATTTCCCAAACTAGTTTGGGCTTTGAGAAAACAGTTTTGACCAGAAACCTTATTTATTCATTATCATTTTTGTTATTTAATTTGTAACATTAGTCAATTTTAATTTCAAGAGAAATTAATGGATTTATTTTTAATATTTAATTACTTTTTTCATTCACAAACAAATGAATTAAATGTATCAGAAAAAAATGATAATTTTTTATAATGGACAGAATGGATCAAATAATATGAACAATAAAAACATTCAAATGATCAATTAATCATACAAAACCATAAATTATTTTAATGATTTTTAAGTTTGTTTTTTTTTAAATTGCAAGTAACATTATTTATTAAAAATTTGGTCACATTACTATTATTATCATTGATAATTCTTAACTATAAACAAAATAATATAATATAATAATAATTCTCACAATCTGGTTATCTTTGAATAATAGTGAAAAGTAACATATTTAATAAATCTTTTACAAATGATTAAAATCTAAGTAAATTATTTTCGTTACTAATTTCATCACATAACTTATTTTCTAATAAATTTGTTAATTAAACAACCACTACCACCTTGACTGCTTTAAATCAAAAGATTTATTATTGTTATTATGGTATAAGATAGCTTTGTAAGAATCCTGTTCCATAACAAGGCAGTAATGATTACTATCTTGTGGAAAATTTTTCCAAGCAGCAGATGATCCTTTTATGCAAAAATCAATAACTGCCCAATCATTCATCTCTATCCCACTATATCTTTTTCCAGGTTGAAATCTTTCAGAATGTTCTTTGAGTTTTTTCCCATCCCTAAGAAGTTCAAAAGCCCATTTGAATTGATCATTCAGGTAAAAGTCAACTGCCCCTGTAAGAAATGACATGTTTAGAAATTTTGACAATGATAAATAAGTATGATGGATGATAGTCTTTGTTTTCCTTTACCTTTCACACCAAAGTAAGTACCAACATCAGAGCTCAATCTTGCTGGCATAATCATCCAAGCACTACAATAAAATTCATTCTGATAAATCCTTTCTATATAACTCCCATTTACATTCCTAGAAAAGGTAGATCTTAACAAACTTCCATCAAAATTCTCTAACACCTTGTACACAAATTCTGTTATACCCTCTTGTTCAACTTGAGATAATGATGGCAGAAGACATGGAGATGGATGGATAAAATTTTTGATGTATTCTTTTCGGTAAAACTGTTCAACAATAGGACAACTAAAAAATAGATTTAATCCATCTTCATTAAACACCCCAACTTTCAAAAGAGAACTTAAGAAGTTACTATTAATAGCATTTAAAGGCACATAACCCTTTTGGATAACTTCCTTTAAAATATTCTGTAATTCACTTAAATTTATTCCTGTAAGCTCTTTCAAGATTGATATACCTGCAAATGCTCTGGAATTTTCCAATTGTTTTGTAAGTTGTCCATTGAAAATAAATTGAGATAGTTGCAATTCAATATCCCCTACCCAATTTTTGGGAGCCTTTGTAAGTTCATTTAATGCCAAACGACATAAACCTATGTGTCCTTGTGTTGCACTCCATACTGCATCTATAAATGTCTGTGACAATGCCAAATCCTTGTGGTCACCCTTTGAATCCTTTCTAAATTCATTAACTAACTCTATATATTCACTATAGTCCAAAACAATATCCTTAAAGTAGTACTTAACAGTGAAGCAACTTGGAGAAGATATATTACCCAATCTGATTGCTTGGACACCATATGTAGATGTTGCAAGAAGTCCACAAAGATTGTTATTTTGGAAGCCTGATTGAACTGACTGAGCTTTGAACATTGACCAAAATTCCTTGAAATTGTTTAAGAAAAAAAATCAGACATAAAGAAAGAAAAAAATTACTTAATTCATACCTCTACATGGAATATATTATGAGCATCATCAATTATTAATAGAGTTTCTGAATTTGCAATTATATCTGTCCATTCCATTGACACCATCTTTTTAAAATATGATGAAAAAATATTGATTTCTTTCTCTATATGAGATCCAGAGTTCAACTTTGTATTTTTATATACAACATATCCAGCAAATGAGATAGCAACAACTTTAAGATTTTTCTCAGTAGCAATCAAACTCACTAATTGTGCTAATGCTGTTTTTCCTGAAAATTATGATGATGTTATCAGAACTTTACCATGACAATGAAGTTCATTCAGTATCTTTTCTGTTAGATGTTTTTGAAAGACACGTTGTGTTTTTGGTAATCCTTCAGTGTCATCTGATCCAAAAAATGAAATAATGTCCTCTATATCAAAAGTAATAAAAAAAAACACAAGAATCACAAAACAAACCAAAAATAATTTAGGAATTTGTTAAGTAGTAAAATATAAGTATGTTGATTGATTAAGAGACATTAATATGATTTACCTTTTTTACCTGTTCAAAGTGAGAAAGCAACATGACAAAAAAAGTCATTAATAAAATAAACAAAATAAAATAAAAACAAAAAAGATGCATTATATACACTTCCAATTAGAGGTGATAAAAGGACTTTTTTAAAAAAATGTAATATAATTTCTTGAAAAAGAAACTTGAAACTTACCTTATGGAAGTAAATCCATACAGAATAAATAATTAGGTAGGTATATTTTTCATTTTATAAAAAGAAAAAACAGAAGTCAGTCAATGTTGTATACAATATACCAAATTATCATACAAGCAAATAAACAAATAAAACGAAATGGAATGAACGAAAAATAATTTTTTTTTTTTTTACTCAATTTGTTTCATTACCTTCCCCTCCACCGAACTTCCTCAATGCCTCCCCCCACTCCTCCACCTGCTTCCACCTCTCGCCTTTTTCCTTCTCTAACAATTTCTTCTCTTCTTCTAACTTTTTTACCATCTCTTTCCACTTTTTCTTCTGTACATCATCCTCATATCCTCTCCTAACCAACTTCACCCTCAACTCATTCAACATCACCCCTTTAAACTCTCCCTCCTCCCAATCATTCAACTTCTTCGTTGCCTCTTCATACCACCCTTCTGCCTTTCTTTTATCTTCTTCAATTTTTTCAATACTTGCCATTTTGTTAAAAAAAAAAAAATAAATTGTTTTAAAAAAATTTTTTTTTATTGATTTAGATTGTAATTGTTACAATTTATGCATGATTTCGACCAATGATAAATTAGTGGGCACATGACTTGGAATTAAAAAAAAATTTTTTTTACGGACAAATGAATTAAACGACAAAAGAAAATTATTTTTATTTTAATTCAACTAATAATAGAAAAATACATAAATAATTTATAAAAATATAAGTTAAAGTCAGAGCACTTGCATGGGAGGAAAATACTCAGACCTAAAGCCATTTGTAAGTATTACCTATTCTTTGGGCACTCTGACAAAAATTCAACTTTCACTATTACTACTACTACTATTTTTATTATTATCAATAATGTTATTATTAATATTCATATTTTCTTTGTTTTCATCATCTTTGTAATCTTCGCTTTCCACTTCTTTCTTCTTTTCTTTGTTGACCCATTCTTGAATTGCTTCTATCATTTTTCTTCTAGGATTTGTTTTTCATTGATAGAAATTTTTTATTGTGGAAGTAGCAACTCCTTTTCCATTTCACTGAATGAAAAATCGGGATTCAATCCAGTCTTTTTGTCAAATAATTGTTTGAAATCCTTCCATAGATTTTCTATTTCTTGTGAATATTTTTTATCATCAGTAAGTTGGTTATTTTATTTTTGAGTTGACTTTTTCTTGGTTCTATTTTATCAATTATTTGATCAATTTTTTGATTTATAATATAGAATTGATTTTTGCAAGTTTTATAGTGAAATAAGAAACCAAGCAAGAGTAGTGTTCCAAACGGGTCGGGTCGGGTTGAATGGACAACCTGACCCGACCCGAATTTTTTAATTATTGACCCGACCCGAACGGGTCAACAGAGGAAAATACTCAGACCTAAAGCCATTTGTAAGTATTACCTATTCTTTGGGCACTCTGACAAAAATTCAACTTTCACTATTACTACTACTACTATTTTTATTATTATCAATAATGTTATTATTAATATTCATATTTTCTTTGTTTTCATCATCTTTGTAATCTTCGCTTTCCACTTCTTTCTTCTTTTCTTTGTTGACCCATTCTTGAATTGCTTCTATCATTTTTCTTCTAGGATTTGTTTTTCATTGATAGAAATTTTTTATTGTGGAAGTAGCAACTCCTTTTCCATTTCACTGAATGAAAAATCGGGATTCAATCCAGTCTTTTTGTCAAATAATTGTTTGAAATCCTTCCATAGATTTTCTATTTCTTGTGAATATTTTTTATCATCAGTAAGTTGGTTATTTTATTTTTGAGTTGACTTTTTCTTGGTTCTATTTTATCAATTATTTGATCAATTTTTTGATTTATAATATAGAATTGATTTTTGCAAGTTTTATAGTGAAATAAGAAACCAAGCAAGAGTAGTGTTCCAAACGGGTCGGGTCGGGTTGAATGGACAACCTGACCCGACCCGAATTTTTTAATTATTGACCCGACCCGAACGGGTCAACATGGGTCGGGTCGGGTCGGGTGCCTGGGTCAGATATAAAAAATTTCTCAAGTATCAATTAATATATGTAATTTATTTTGCTCATTTGAATTTAAAAAAAAAATTACAATGTGTAAAATAAGTGGATTTTTAAAAAAGAAAAAAAATTAAAAAATTGATTTACTTAGTAATATTATTATCTCTAATCCAATTTTTCTGGCACATGCATGCTTGAATTATTTCTTTCTCCAAACGACAATGTTTTTTTGTGATTAGGTCACCACCACCTGAAAAGATTCTTTCAACAGATACACTTCTACCTTACATTAAATAATATACATATACTTATTTATTTTTACAAATTAAATAAAAGATATTAAAAAAAGATATCTTACCTGGAATTGCAAGATAGTCACATGCCATCTTGGAAAGATTTGGAAAGGTGGCTTCATGAACCTATCATATTTAATGAAAATAATAATTAATGTTGAAAAATAAATATATCAGATATTAATTAATTGTTACCTTCCACCATTGTAGTGGATCTGTTTGAGGTTTTACTGGAGATACTCCTCTAATTCATCTTCTTTTTGATTATTATTATAATTGATACCAAGTGGAAATGTAAAAAAAATATTTTCATTATTATTTGTAGTGGCAGCAACATTAGTGGCAGTAGCAATAGCAGCAGCAGCATTATAATAACATTCATTGTATTTATCAGCTAGTGTTTTTTGGCCATATCAATATTAATATTAATAAAATAATTAATAATAAGACAAGGGTTACATATTGCATATGGCACATGATACGGCATAAAACAAGGGTCGTGTCATTCGGCATACTGGGCCCATGTCAACCCGTGTGACCCGTGTGACCCGTATGACCCGCGGGTCAAATCAAATTCATGACCCGACCCGAAATATGGTCAACCCGACCCGTTCGGAACTCTAAGCAAGAGTCCAATTAATAATCTGCAAAAAAGTTCACTATTGAAAGTAAGCATTTTTTTAAAATGTTATTATGGATGAAAATATTGTATAAATATTTATTAATTATTTGTTTGTTTTTTAAACCAAAATAAAATTGTTTAATGGTGATTATTAGAAGGATTTGTTATTTGAATTTTTTTTACCTGAAAATTAAGTGAATTGGTGATGTTTTTATAATGTTCCAATACAAGGCGAGATTATTTACCTTGTTTCAATGTCAATGAGAGAAAAACAAAGATTTATAAATGTATTCTTAAATGTAAAATTCATTCAAACAACTTTTTTTTTTTATCAATAAGCAATGCACAATGATGATCATTATGTTTGCATAAAGGAAAATTTTCTTTGTAGTAATAACAAATAAAAAAAAATAAATCAATATTGTATTAAGATTATTTCCCTTCTTTCAAAGATCTCTGCTTTTTGTTAGGTAATAATACACCCTCATTCTGTTTTCTTTTCTTAATGTTTATTATTTTTCTTTCTTCTTGGTAAATTTCATAAGTAATCCTTTCTTTTCTTAGATAAGCTTCCAGTGTCTGAGTATCATTTATTTTGAAAATGTAAGGAGCAATTTTTTCACCTTGAGCTTTTTTTAGAATGCTTCTAATAGTGCTGTAATTCTTAGGTTCCATAGTAGATCTGATGTAAATTAGTTTCATATTAACTATTTTTGTCTAGATAAATATCATGATCACATTATATTAGTAACACAATTGTGATGTTAAACAAACACTATTGATCCCTGAAATTCTTGGTAACATCAATGTTCACTTTGTCTGGTTTTGTTGCAGTATGTCCCAAATAATGATTAGTTTCAGCCAAAGGTTTAACAAACAAAGATGCTGAAGGTAAAGATAATTTAACTGGTTTTTCTAAAAAAATATTAACATGTTAAATTGTTCAACTAATTCAAAAAAAATTTTTTTTTTATCTACAAAAATTTATATTTTAGGAAAAAGTAATTATCATCATTGCCATAATCATCAATCTTTACCAATTCATTTATAATATATTTAAGAATGATACTTTTTTTATCCCAATAATAATAATAAAGGTGATCCATATGTTAAACTTTGGATTGAAAAAGAATATCCTCAAAGAACTAAAACTCAAGTTGGTACCTTAGAACCAGTATGGAATGAAACTTTTACATTGTAAGTAATCATCATTATCTATTCTTCTTGCATAATAATAAAAATATTAATTAATTAATTATTATATTTTACATGTCTATAACTAGTAAATTGAAGGATAATGATAAAGTTCTTCATCTTAAAGTCTTTGATTCTGATGGCCCAGATCCAAAAAAAGATGATGAGGTACATATAAATAAATGAATAAATGAATGTTCATGATGTTATTATAATTATAGATGGTAGTAATAATCTTTATTTTTTTCTCTCTCTAGCTTGGTGAAACAAAAATAAAACTTGATGAAGCTTTCCAAAAAGGAAAAATTGACAAAACTATTAAATTACCAACTTGGCTTGGTCTCTTTAGTGAAGGTGAAGTTACTACAAAATTGGAATTTATAAAGGCTTAAAAAAAGTTTATATATAAATTATTTGTTTTGCATTATGATTTTATTATAATAAAAAAAATAAATAAATAATAAATCATAATTTTTACAATAAATGGTTTATAAATTATAATTGTTAATAGTAATAATAATTTCATTAACATTAGTAGAATTGTGTTGTGGTGGCTGTAGTATTATCATTTGTTGATTTATTATTTGTTGATTTATTATTTGTTGATTTATTATTTGTTGATGATGTGGTTGTGGTTGTGGTTGAAATTGGAGACACTGGGCGGTTAATAACTTCTCTTACAGCATTATCAATAGCATTCTTAAATCTTCCTTCTTTTGATGTTGGCTTGACAAGAAACAGTTTAACTAGTGTTCCATTGAAAACACCTAGATAATTTGATGAAGCTAAATAAATTTGGCCCATAAAATACTTGAAAACCATACTATGCTAGCTTCCAACCATAGAAATTGTCGAATCAATATGGGTTGGGCTAGTGGTAAGATACCAACAAGTGTTACCAACTTTAGATATTCTAAAACCTCTTGGGGTATCAACTCAATAAAAGTAAAATCGTCCCAATTTGCAGATTAAAATGCTAAGATGAAACCCAATCTTCAGTAGGGACAAACACCAATTTTCTAATGAGAAAGGAACTACTATAACATTATTATTATTGCTATTATTATTGCCATTGCCATTAATATTAATGTTAGTAATTGGTGGTGGTGTTGTTGTTGTTGTTGTTGCTACTTCTATTATTAGAAATGCGAAGAATTATATCAAGTGTTGAAAGGATGTAATATTACACACCAATCAAATTTTTAATTTTTGGAGATAGTTTCTAAATCTGTACTAGCTACACGACGAAATTTCAACACTAGTTATATTCAAGTGCTGAATATATTTTCTATTTTGTAGCAGATTATGATCAATATTACTGTTTTTATATGTATTTATTGAATTTGTTCATAATGGCTGAATCTATTGGTTCTATGGAAATAAGTTAGGGTTTCTATTCGAATAAAACTCAATCCAATTAAAAAAATTTTCTTTATAAGTTCTATTTTTTCTTCATAGATAATAATAGTTGTAGTTCATACCTTGATGCTAAAATCTTGACTTAATTGACTAGGGTCCAAGAACGGTTTAATAATAATAAATTATAATAGATGTATATTATTTTTTTCTATTAGCAATTTGAACAAGAAAATTTTTTTTTATTGACTGTTTTTAGCTATTTTTGATTAAATAAAATAAGATTTTATATCAGAATTAAGCAGAATTAATTGTAAATAAAATAGGCAGAACTTGGGCACAAATAATTTTTTAAACACTGCAGAAATGAGCAGATTTTGCTTTTTTTTTGCTGCAAAAATTCATCAAAACTATTTGGATATAGTATTGTTTGCCTGATTACAATTACTTCTTAAATTATCCATTTGTTCTCTCAAACAAAACAATTGTCGATAACAATAATTAAAGTAAAATATGAAATAGAATTCATTGCTAATAAAGTTATATTCCTTTCAATTTATTTAATTTACTTTAGCAATTTCATTTACTATCATAATTTTTTATCAATTTTCCATTTTTTTTTTAAAAAAAAAATTAGGTAATTATATATATTTTATAAAATAGTGGTTATTAACATTATATATTAAAAAATTTAATTTAGAATTAATTCTAAATATAAATTGGGCGGATCATCTATACTCAAAAGTTAAAATTTTAAAAAACCTACCACCATTCAATCCAGCTTTAAAAAAGGATCTAAAAAAAAATTTTGTCTCAAATTTTCTTTTTCATAGATTTTTTAAATTTGAAAGTTATGCTCAGAAGTGCAACAATAATTTTCGTGTTACAATATTTTGAATCTCACGACCAAATTTGATAATGATTTTCTCTTAATAATATGTTCGTTAAACTTTTTTGTTGTTGTATATAGAAAATATTCCATGAAAACAAGTTTTGTAATCGAGGATGTGCAAGTGAGCAGGAGAGACCATTCTATATTTCCCGTACCACTGTTTATTTATATATAGGCAAACAACAAATTTAATTTACAAAAAAAATCAAAACAAAAATCATACAATCTATCCCAAGTAAGGAAAAAAGCAGTGTTACGGGATTTGAGTAATCTTTTATAAGTGTTAAAGAATTTGCTATTTGATCGATGCGTACACATTAATTATTAAATTATTGGCACTTGGTGTTTTTTTTTGTTGACGCGCGATTGACTTTTTTTGGAAAAAAATTTATTTTCAAAGATGACAAAACACGAATGATGTTGTTTGGCATGGCTCTGAAGACGTGTTAATAACCAACCAGAGGTAACTATATTTTAATTTGGATTGATATGTTATTGAAATCAAAACGCAGAGCAGAACTCTCTGGGTAATTATAAGATCCTTATCAAGATGACAACAAAATAAACGATTGGTATTTTGCTTTTCGTAATCAGTAATGTTAACAAACTGAGATTAATGATGATATTAAATCAAATTATTTGGGGGGTTTTTTTTAAAAAAATCTGATTCATAAACTTTCTTGGCGTTTTCGATAAGCCAACAAAAAAGATAATTAAAGGATATCATCATAATCATGTATTTTTCCGCAAAAATCATCTGCAATCACCAAATCAATCTCTAAATAAGGATAACACGCATCCAACCCACCAATAAAATTGGATATTTTCATGATGCTGCGCAAAATGGCGGATGATTTTTGCGGAAAAATACATGATTTTTAAGGATATCTTGGATCTGGTAATGAATGTTGTAAATATTGCGTTTTTTATAAATGCTATTATTCTTTATTATATACTCATCACATTATTATATTTCTAGATGTTTTAATTTCATCAAAAATCAAACGATCAAAAAACATATTGGATCTGGCGAAATGAATGTCCTTACTCAGCAAAAAAAAAAAAAAGGCTTCAAAACATACGATTGTCTTTTTGGTGTTATATTTCCTTTTTTGGATCTCAAGACCAATAATCTTCAGAAAATCAATACCATTTGATACCCGCTTTTGGCTACCATTTGTGGGGTCTTACCGTATTAGTATGTTGAATGGGAACGGATCAGCACCAATGGATTTTCCTGATAACTCTACCCATCTGATCTGATCTGATCAGTGTGTAAATTTCGTCGAAATTCAAAAATTTGATTGGATAATAATAATCAAATGTACTCAATTTCAAATGTATAAATATAGATACAATTACAAAACCGGGAAAATTTAAAGATTATAAAAATGGTACAAACATCTAAATAAAATAAAAAATTCAAAATGTTGAATATTTTTAACATTGTGAAAAAATTTTTTAAAATTTCACCCGAATACACAACTGTATTCTTGTTAGCATGGTTTGGCTTAGGAACCAGACCGATCACCTTCATCCCTTTGTTTTTGCATCCACTAATATTATTATTAATACGTTCAACTCCTATGTATATTAATTTGGGACTTTTCATTGCATTGGGATGTGGATCCGCGCTTTCGTATTATGAAACTTCAACATCGTCTATCGAGTCACCATTTGACGACTACAAAGCACTTTTTGTAGTTGGAAGCGCAATAACAACCTTGACAATCATTCCAGGGATGATAACAAAATTTTTAAGTGACCATTTCGGGCTCAGCGATTATGACCCGCCAACAAGAAATAAAATAAGCTTTTGGTCAATATATCCAATCATTTGGACTCTGTCATGGTCGTTGCTAAGACGATACTCGCCAGTTGGTTCTTGGGGTGACTGGAGTTATACGTTGGATTCATCCGGATATTCTGGAAATCCTATAATGCAGCTTGCATCAATAGGAGGTTTATCGGCCATAAATCTATTGCTATCAACGTGGTCGGTGGTTGCTAGCAATCACATTATTTATAAATATAAAATAAAGGATAGGAAGAAACGATTGATTTACCAACAATCAAGAGACAATGAAAATACTCCTCTATTAATTTCTTCTTCTCGAAACACCCCATCAATACTAGCTATTTCTAGTGGTAATAATAGAATTACAAGACCAACCGATCCTGCATTAACTAACCTGGAACAAAATTTAAAATTTAATTATAATGCGGCATTAGGACTTTTTGTTTTTTTATTTGGAGTAATCTTTTTTTATAATTTTAGATTAAGCCATTTCGAAAATACCGAACCAGTTGAATTGATAAGGGTTGGATGTATGTTACCAGGTGCTGGTATAACACGTGATGAAATGTTGACAGCTACGGCTGATCTTGGTACCAGTAAAGCCGTCAAAATTATTTTATGGTCAGAGTCTGCACTTCCGTTACATTCTCAAGAGGAATATAGTGAATTATTAGAAAATGTAATGAATAAGTCCTCTACATACAAATTTTGGTTAGGATTTACTTACACCATACCAACGGGGTACAGCAACAAAAAAAGAAACATGCTCACGTTCATTGGACCAGATCATAAAGATGTAATGTATACATATATACATATATATATTTATAAATATATACATCATAATTAATTTATTATATATTTATAAATTAAATTGATTGATTGGTTTATTTGGAAATTTCTATTCATAGATTTTATTTGAATATCAAAAAACTCATCCAGTATGGTTGGCAGAGTCTTGGTCGACAGAGGGCGGAGAAGGAAAATTGCCGATTGTAGACGTAGAATATGAAGATAAAAACAAAAAGCATCATCGTAACTATACTACTGATTTAAGAATTAGTGGAGCAATTTGCTTGGATATGGACTTTCCTGAACTATTAAACCAAGCATCATCAGCAAATTTAGTTCTTTCGCCGGCACAAACCTTCTCAACTTATGTAGGTTTGCAACATTTAAGAATGTCGTCAATCAGGGCAATCGAAAATGGGTATTGGATACTACGTTGTGATCAAGGCGGTGCAAGTGGTTTGATAGATCCATTAGGTAGAATTCGTAATTATGAAATTTCCATAAGAAAAAATATCCAACTGATTACTTGGGATGTCCCATTCGACTCCATAAAAAAAGTTGATACTTATTACGGAGCCTTGGGTGAAACTTTGGTGTGGGTTTTTATAGGGTTCTTAATTTCGTCGAGAGCTTATTGGGTATTTGGAAAAGAAAGCCATGTTGAGTTTGTTCGAAATTTTGTAGATAACTTTTATAGTGATAAAGTTCAATATATAGATGATCGAATTGAAAATATTATTTTGAATAATTTTTAAATTTCGTTCATTTTATAAAAAATAATTGTAAAATGTTTTTTTATTTTTTTTTGTTTAATATTAATTAATAAATGATATATAATATATATCTATATACATATATAAATGATTAAAACAAATTCAAGACATTTATAATAAAATTTTATCAATAAAGTATTATTATTTATATCATAACTACCACAATTATTACTATAATACATTATAATCTAGGAAAGGAGAGGAAAAAAAAGTGACCTTATTACGAATAATAAAATTAAATTTAATCAACTTCCTCCATGTGAGATGCTTCTGCCTCAGTTGAGTCCTTTTCAATTTCCATGGGTTCTACACGATTGTCATCGTTATCATCATCACCAATATCAAGACCAAGTTTAATCATTTTAAAGATTCTATTGGCAAACGATGATGGCTCTTCCAAGCTAAATCCAGATTGTAAAAGTGAGGTTTCAAATAATAACCATGTAAGATCTTTAACTGTTTTATCATTTTTATCTGCTTCAACTTTTGATTTGAGTGATTTAATGATTGGGTGATGTGGATTGATTTCCATTATTTTCTTTGATGCCATGTAAGACGCCATACTTGAATCACGAAGTGCTTGTGCCTTCATTATACGTTCAAAATTAGCTGACCAGCCATATTGTCCTGTTACGAGTACACAAGGTGATTCTGAAATACGATTTGAAACAAGAACCTACACGCACACAGTGTATATATTTATTAACTCGAATAAGAAAAAAAATTTACAATAATTAATAAAACAGTTAATACTTACCTTTTCAACTTTATCACCAAGTATTTCTTTAATCTGTTTACACAAACTTTCATATTGTTTCGCTTCTTCTTCATGTCTCTTTTTCTCATCTTCATCCTCGTCAAGTTCCAAGCCTTCTTTTGTAACAGAAACAAGTTTTTTGCCTTCATATTCCTTAAGTTGTGTAATACAGTATTCATCAATTGGATCAGTCATAAACAACACTTCAAGACCTCTCTTCTTGAGAACTTCAACAAATGGCGAGTGTTCAACTCCTTGACGACTTTCACCAGTGATGTAATAAATTGATTTTTGTTTTTCAGGCATTCTTGTAACGTAATCTTTTAATGACGTTAGTTCATTAGGAGATTTTGTCGAATTGAAACGAAGGAGTTCAGCTAATTTAGCTCGATTTTGTGAATCTTCATGAATGCCAAGTTTAATGTTTTTAGAAAATGCTTCGTAAAATTTGGCAAATTTCTCTTTATCTTCGGCAATTTCGCTAAACATTTCTAAACATTTCTTTACGATATTTTTTCTAATAACTTTAAGTATTTTGTTTTGTTGAAGCGTTTCACGTGAAATGTTTAGGGGCAAATCTTCAGAGTCTACAACACCCTTAACAAAATTAAGGTATTCGGGTATCAACTCTTCACAATCATCCATAATGAACACACGCCTTACATAGAGTTTGATATTGTTACGTTTCTTTTTGGTCTCAAATAAGTCGAATGGAGCACGACTTGGAACAAAAAGAAGTGCTCTGAATTCAAGTTGGCCCTCAATAGAGAAATGCTTAACAGCCAAATGTTCTTCCCAATCATTAGTTATTGATTTATAGAAGGCAGCATAATCTGCATGTTCTATATCATCAGGATTACGCGTCCAAATTGGCTTTGTTTTGTTAAGTTCTTCAACATCTTTAACTTTAACTTTTTCTTTCTTTTTCTTATTTTTTTCTTTTTCTTTTTCATCTTCCTCATCGTCGATTTCTTCAATTTTTGTTTTTTTCTCATCCTCCATATTCTCATCAATTTCCTCTATTTTACTTTCTTCTGTTTTCTTTTCTTCTCCCGCACTTTCTTCGGTTTCTTTTTCAACCTCTTTTTCAACTTCTTTTTCAACAACTAGTTGTATTGGATAACCAATGAATTCAGAATGTTTCTTGACAACTTCTTTTATTTTACGTTCCTCCAAATAATCAAGTTGATCTTCTTTAAGAAACAATTTAACTTCAGAACCGCGACCAAGAGGAGGATTGATTGTGTCACGAGTGATTGTAAAAGAACCACCAGCAGCAGATTCCCAAATGTATTGTTCATCGTCGTTATGTTTTGTAATCACTTGAACACGATCAGCTACCAAATAAGCAGAATAGAAACCAACACCAAATTGACCAATCATTGATATATCAGCACCAGATTGGAGAGCTTCCATAAATGCTTTAGTGCCTGATCGAGCAATTGTACCAAGATTATTAACAAGATCGGCCTACGATATAATTATATAGAAAAAAAAATTTTCCAAACATTAATTATTAAGTTAAATTAAATTTAACACATATGCATATATGTATATATATATTATATATGTAAATAAATAATATATACCTTTGTCATGCCGATACCAGTGTCTCTAATGGAAAGAGTTTTATTTTCTTTATCCGGAATAATTTTGATATAAAGTTCATTCCCTGTTTCAAGTTTTGATGGATCTGTAAGCGATTCATATCGAATTTTATCCAAGGCATCAGATGCATTAGAAATCAATTCACGAAGGAAAATTCTAAAAAAATGTTTAATTTGCTTATTAATTTATGTTTGTACGTTTTTTTACTTTTATTTGTATTAAAAAAAAATTTTTTGAACGAAAAAAAAACGAATAAAAAATTCCATTGATTACTCACTCTTTATTTGAATAAAATGTATTTATAATTATAGACATAAGCTGAGAAATTTCAGCTTGAAATGAAAATTGTTCAACTTCTGCCATTTTTGTTCGATTTTTTTTTCGATTTTTTTTTAATTTGTGATGAGAATATTATTTTATTATATTATTATTTATTATAAATGATTACGGGGGAGGAGAGGATAATTGTTGGATAATTTATATGATTTTTCAAATTGTAGTACATCTTTAGATAATGTGTTGGAAGTTTCTAGCAAGTTGTAGATAAATTAAAGCCAAGTTTTGAATTTTTTAGTAGAAAATTCCAGGCCATAGCGTTACACCGAAGATCGACATGAAGGTCATGTAACTATAGTATAAATTTCAGAAATTCAAAAAAAATTTTGATTGAATAATAATGTTATATATACGTCTTTTGGCATGTTATCATGTTGTAAATTTCTTAATATATATATATATAATAATAATAACAACAATCATACGTAGCACGAAGTATAAAAATGGATTGATTTTCAAATCTAAGATTCAAAAACCAAAATTATTCATCACAATCATATACATCCCCAATATTCACTTCATTTCATCCTCAATCAACCAAATAAAATCATCTTTAGCCAAGTATAAATTCGTTAAATGGTCTCCACTTATAATTTAGTTTACATTCGTAAAGAAATCTAGCAATTTCTTCATTTCCACATTTATTATTTTTTTTCTTCACAACCTTTGCATAATACTATTTGGTGTATATATTATACAATCAACCACAATGCATGCAAAAAAAACCACAAGCCTAATTTTGCAAAAGTTTATATTGCATTTACATTTAGATACAAAAAATTCTCATTTGTTTCAGTTATATAAGGACGCAGATAATAAGAGGAAATCATATACTGTATATGTAATATATTACATAAAAATTAACATACATATGTAAACTTGATAAGTCGGTCATGTGGGGGTGAGCTCATATGACCGACTTATCGAATTAAATTACTTAAATATTAAGAAAAATGGGTGAAAATTTTGGCCGACTTATTGAGTAAACCGATCTAGTTACTGAGTGTTTTGTTTGAATTTCTTTGACTATGTCATTTAAAGATAAAGTTATATTTGTTATATAGCCAAAATCATTTTTTTTTAAATTTTCAATAATTCTCTATTGATCCTAATAAAAAATAAAATAAATATAATATCAATTCCTAATTCATTAAACATCTACTCTATTGATATTAAACAACTTTGATCAATACCTATTTGATCTCTAAATCATGTAAAAATAAAACCGCCATCCGTATAAATAAATGTTTTAATAGATTCCATGTAATTTCAAAAAATGGGGTTTTACCTATATATTTCTGTAACTCTCTGAATACCTTACCGAATTTAATAATCTTAGACTCAAAAGAAAGCTTGGATTTCTGTTAACGTCATATTTAAAAATTATATATAGTTAATATGCGACAAGATTGTTTAATAAAATTGTGATTTGTTGACTTTTTTACATCTTATGAGTCTATTTCTTCTATATCTGAGCAATATACCCAACCAATAGAGATGAATTAACTTGTATTGACACTCATCTGATCTCTAAAAATAAAATGGCATGGAAGTTGTAAATAAATAATCAATTAAAAATTAATTTCTTAATAAAAAATAAATAAATATAATTTCAATTCTTAACTCATTAAACATCTAATCTATAAAACAACTTGGATCAACGCCTATTTGATCTCTAGATCATGTAAAAATAAAACCGCCATCCATATAAATAAATGTTTTAATAGATTTTAAAAATGGTTTTTTAAGGTGGAAATAACCAATTTTTGCCCTGTTACACGGCTTTATCCTTGATGGATCTATTAGATCTTGTGTCAAAAAATTTCTCTCTTTAAAAAACTGCATTTTAACTAGTGCAAGGTTTTACAACGTAGCATTATAATTGTCTGGAATTGCCAAATGACATTATTTTTAAGTTTTCGACGTTGCACGCAATTCTTATAACAAAATATTATTGGTCTCTAACATAAATAAACCAATTTATCAACAACGTCACGTGCCTTGTAAATCCTTACTTCTTATAGTACATAGTACTTTTCACATTATTGAATGAAATTACTGAGTCATATTAAGTGATGTGTGAAACTTTGAATTTTTGTTTTTAATATTAAGGAAAAATATGAATTCACAAAAAGAAGAAAATATTCATTTAGCTTATAAAAAAAAATTACCTTCACAATTCATGGAATTTTGTCAGAAGGAAAGCACAGCTTCGTTGAAATGCTTAGATGTCAATAATTACGATAGAACCAAATGCCAGGAATATTTTTCAATGTATCGTGAATGTAAAAAACGATGGGTAAATATTATAGTTATTATTAAAATATTACTTGTTCTTTAATTAAATCTATCTGAATGTGTATAATTTAAACCCCCCCAATTTTGAATTCTTTTAAAAAACAAAACAGTTGGAAGAAAGAAAAGTATTACGCAGAGAAGGAAATATTTAAAATATGTGTGCATGTGCGCATGAGATTATTTTTTTTTTTACAATTATGAAAAGTACTATAATTATAAATATAATACAATACAAAAACAATAATACCATATCATCATTATTAAGTATTTTTCAAAGAAGGCAAATTAAGTGATATTAAACTGAATTATTATGTTGAATATATTGGTTTTGATTGAAAAAAAATATATAAAGATTAAAATAGAAAAATATATGTCGATCATATATGTATTAGTATTAGGATTATAGGACCCTCATATAACAGTTATAATTAATTGCCTGCATCTTTTTCATGTATACATCAGCCGAAAATTAATATCCTTCCTCCGAGGATAAATATTGAAAGGAAAAAAGCCTTGAGAAAAAGAAAATGTTTATAGCTATAATCAACTTTGCAATTATAGAAATGAATGAATTTGTATTGTTTACTGTATTATCACACTGCTAAAATAATTTAGATAATTAACACAATAAGTGACATCATCAAACTTTAATAATAATAATTTATTTTGGGTAATTTATCACTAATTAAATGAAACCGAAAAAATTTTTTTTTCGCTATAAAATTTTTTTTTAGAGTTTTCTGAGTTTTTACAACTCGTGTATTATTTATTATTATTATTATTATTATTATTAATTTGTATATAGCAATAATAATAACAATTACACCTCACTTACTACATTGCATAATAATATCACCTCCTTTCCCTCGCTCGAACTTTATATAGAATAAGAACGATATATTTTTTTTTATTAAATAAAAAACATTTCTATTTAATTCAATACATATATATAGATCTTAATATTTATTTTAATTTAATAATAAATAATAATTTACATTAATTTCTAGAAGTTTAGATTCATTCATTCAATGTTTTAAAAAAAATGAAACTAATATTAATACCACATTATTCAAACCTTATAATATTAACATGTTTTATAGTAATATATCAACTTTCTTTTACTATTATTTTAGCAGACAATCCTGGCGTATATTTTGATGCTACTTCAAAATTACTAATAACAGGACAATACGACGGTATATCTGAATATGATGTTATAGGTCAAAAAGAATCGTATGACGTTTCAACTGCTTCTTTCATTATACAATTAGCAAACAATAATACATATAAACTCGCTGGTTCTACTTCTACACAAGGAACAATCAATGCATTATGTATATTGCCACGTTCTTCTGATAACAATGATAATGCAGATGTAGATGTATTTATAGGCGGTAACTTTACAAGTATTGGCGGTATAACTACAAACAACATAATCCGTTATGATGTTACTACTGATACTTTTCTTTCGTTATTGGATGGTTTGGATGGGGCTGTTCATTCATTGTATTGTGATAAATCAAATTCGATTGTTTATGTTGGTGGTTTGTTTTCTGCTCCGGTAAACCCAACTAAAAATAATTACAATGCTACTGAATTTGGTAGCGGTGTGGCTATATGGAATAATGGAACTGGTATATGGCAGCCTCTACCATTCAAAGGGTTTAATGGCCCTGTTTACACGATTGCATCTAATAAGGAAAATAATACTATATATTTTGGTGGAAGCTTTGATGCTACTGGTGATGGTCAATTCGGTGTGTCTACTGGTTCACAGCCCATAAATATGAGAAATGCTACGGTAATTTAATCTTATATGCGTATATAAAACGCATACATATATGGTTTTTTAAAAAAATTTTAAAAATGTATATATTTGTAACTATAGTTTTATTTATTTTTGATCTGATTTAGATCTCTGGTGGTAATAATGCAGTTGATTATACAGTTGGTAATCCATCTGCAATAATATGTAGTGCTGATTTAGACGGCCCCGGTAATATATGGTTATTAAGAGATAATATTCCTGGTTATTGGAGAGCTGAATATCCAGTAAAGTTAAGTCCCACTTTTATTGGTTTGAAAAATACTAATTTTCAAGGAAGAGGAACAAAAAAGTTTAGGTTTGTTTGTTTTTTGTTTTTTTTTTTAATGAATATTTAATGATCACTTATAATGATTAACTTTTTTTTCTTTTTAAAAAAATAGATTAATTGCTACCGCAGATAATAGTGTTGTAGATCTTAAATATGTTGATCCAAATAATGGTACACAAATGATATGTAGAGAATGCACTTTAACTCAAAACAATCAAGATTTTCAAATGTTTGAATTTGTTGCATCTAAGGTTTTAACAGGAATTCAAATTGATATTTTGGAATGGTACGGCGGAGGTGGTGGATTACATGGAATTCAATTATTTCAAAATGGTATGTTAAAACCTTCAAAAAATTTATTATGTATATGCTATTTTAATGATTTGAAACCATATGCATATTGATATTATATTAATTAAAATATCACTTACATTTATAGATATTATTGTAAATGCTGTTAATGATCGAGATTCATTTAGTTGTTCAAGTGCACCATTTGTACCTCAAGTTAAAACTATTGGTAATTGGGTTCCAAGTTTATTATCAGGAATCTGGGAAAATGTTTTACAAACTACAATTAAAGCCACCGATTTAACAACATCGGATGCAAAAATAACCCTTATACCTTATGTTCCACAAGCTGGTAATTACAAGGTCACAATTGCAACGCTCACATGTCTACCATTTGGTTGCGATAAAGCAGCATCAGTTGATATTACAATAACTGTAGCTCCAGGAGTATCTCAAAATATCACCATTTCACAAAATACTCGATTCAGCAAAGAAGATTTAATTTATGAAGGATTCGTGCTTCAAACATCAAATAATTTTCAACCGACAGTAGAAATCACTTTATCTAAAACAACTCCTCCTGTAGGTGGAGGTGATGTACTGATAATTGCAGATTTTGTAAAATTTGTTAAAACTAATAATGGTGCCCCATTAAGTAGTTTGCTTTTATATATTCCCCAATCTGATCAAAATCCTCAAGCCCTATGGGACGGTTTTAATGGTAACGTAGTCAAACTATTTACAATATTATAGATTAATGATATCTATTATGATTGTTTTTATTATCATCATCATCATCATTAAAAATTTTTATATCTTCTTTATTCTAATAAATTAGGATTGTTGGCACCTAGATCTGTTGTTCATGATATAGTTGTTTTAGAACAATCATCGTTAGTTATAGGTGGATATTTCGATAATGCGGCATCCAATAACATTGTAAAATATGATGGTTCAACATTTAATCCCCTTTCCAATAAAGGTCTTAATGGTCCGGTGCGTACAATTGAAAAAGTTGGCAATAGTTTATTAGTTGGTGGATTATTTAGCAATACGTCTGACAATCAAATTATAGGTTTAAATAATTTGGCCAAATATGATCTTACTGAAAACAAATGGTCCAGTTTATCTGGTGGCGTTAATGGTGGAGTTGAGCGAATTGCTCTGGTTAATCAAGATGGTAGTAGTAGACAAGTTCATGTAGCTGGTAAATTTAATACTTTAATATCACCAAATTCTCAAGTTAATGGAAATGTTACATTTGGTTATGCAATATGGGATGACGACAATTCAAAATGGTTGCAAAATGGCTTTATAGATGGTTCAATAGGAGATATCGTATCCCTTAATAGTAGTAGCAAATCTGATTCTATGACATTTATAGCTGGTAATATTTATTCTGCACAATCAACTACAGCCTATGGAGCAAGTTTACTTTTAGGACATAATGATTTTGTCGCTTTTCCAATGTATCCACAAGTAACTAATGGTTCTAAATCAGAGATTATCATCAACACAGGTTCATTATGGAATGATAAAAAAAGCGACAACACTTATGTTATAATAGGTGGTAGTTTTGATCTTCAAGACCAGAATATAACAAATTTGGCTATATCGAAAAACAATGTATTGATGCCTTCAAATTTTACTATTAAAGAAGAGGTCAAATCTTTAGTTGTGGTTGAAGAAGGATCATTGTTTATAGGGGGCGCGTTTAACTTTACTGGCCCACCTCAAAATATTCAAGAATTTCGTGGATTTACTGCTTATGAATTGATTAGAAATGCATTAAATGATAATCAGCCTCCTCGATTATCAGGTAAAACTTTAATTTTAATAACTGTAGCAATAATAATAACAATTATTACCTTGTCTAATTGTTATTATTATTTTTTTAGCTGGAGATAACGTCGTAAAAGTAAATTCTATTAAAAGTCGATTAGGAACAAATAATATAATAGTTGCTGGTAAATTTGATAAGGCAGGTTCTATAGATTGTGTTTCAATTTGTTCATGGGATTATAAAATTGGTGAATGGAAATCAATTGTCAGCAATTCAGTAATTTCAGGCGAAATTACATCAGTTGATTTTATAGAGGTAAATTTTTTTTTATTAAATTTGTTTTTCTTAAATAAATAATAATAATAATATTTATTGTCATCATTATCATATAGTCAAATAAAGAACAAAACATTTTTATTGCAACTGGTAAGAATATAAAACTTGATGGAAATGCAATTAATTTGTTACAATATGATTTTAAGGCAACTAATTGGGTGGATATTGGAAGTAACCTCCCAGGACCAGCTTCATCAGTTGCATATGATTCTTCAGCTTCTGATAATTATTTTATTTCTGGTTATGACAACAATAATCAAACATATATACGTAAATGGGATGGTGCACAATTCACGGACGTTTTAATAAATGAAATACTGGCTGGTTCTTTAATAAATTCTTTAAGGTTATTACCGTCAAACGTATCACATTATTCTAATCAAATTTTGGACAAATATTGGTTACTTTTAATTTCTGGAACTTTAAATTTACAAAACTATGGTATAGTTAATGCAGCATTATTCGATGGTGAAAACATATATCCATTTATTATAGCTTCTAAAGAAAATGGTATACCGGGAACAATAAATTCAATATTTACCATAATTGATCCTGGGCTTTTGAATGAAAGAAGTAAGTTTTTTTTATTTATATATATTTTAATATAATAATGCTAACATAATATTAATTTTCTCCCTCTTAAAAATTTAAAGAAGTCTTGCCTTTGCCGATAGTCATTATAATTTCTGTAGCTATTTCATTTGCACTTGTATTTTTAATAGTATTTATTGGTATGTCGATAGTTTATTTGAAACGCAAGAAAATGGCTAAAGAATTACCGTCATCATCAGATAGGCATAGAAATATTTCAGACAAACATTTCATAAGGGATAGTGATTTATTAGCTGCAATGGAATATATGAAAAATTTATCCAAGACAGATACAGCAAACGCAAATTTAAATCACAACACAAACACGGGCGGCTAAATCAACTGAACCATTAAAAAAAAACAATTTTTTTATATATATAGAAAAATAGAATTTAAATTTTTATTTATTGTCATTAATTATTTTTATATACAAGTTTAATTGTTCTTTTAGAAACCTTAAAGATCATGCGTGATCTTTCTAGTATTTAATGGGTCATTTTTTGTTAATTTTTTAAAAAAATTTTGTTGTATTTTTACTTAATTATAAGTGTATTTTTTATTAATTAATTATCTATTTATTTATTTTACATATATACAATAATAAATGGCGTGAACACTGCTAATTCACCAAGGTTTGGATTATTGTATGTGACCATAACCGCATATACTAGTGGAATATATATTTCATGAAAAAATTCGATTAACAAATAAATTTATGTATATATAATAATAATACACAATAAGTCGGTCATTTATTTATATTGTTTGCTGCGTCCAACTTATTAAAAAATGTTGATTAAAAAAAATTCACAATGTTACCTTTAAAATATGTGAAAGTAACGAAAAAATAAGTGATAATATAATTATGAATAAAATTAGAATAGGATTGATTGAATTAAACTTGAAATCATCTGTTGTTATTATTACTGTTTCTATCATTGCTTTTATAGTTCTCGCACTTGATTTTGTTTTTCCAATTGGTTTCTATCGATGTCAATATCAACATCCTCATCTTGAGACATAAAATCAACCCCTTTAGCTTCTTTGCCAATCAAAGCCATCAAAATTAATAAAGACATGCAAGCACCTGATAATATACCTATAATCAAACCATAATTCGGCACACCATTATCAAGTCTAAATTTTTCACCTAATGTTGCTTCTATTTGCGCTGAAGAGGATGATACCAAAGTGCCAATTTGATATGTTAATCCTGGAAATGTGCCACGAAGATTTGGTGGCGATAGTTCATTCAAATGAACAGGAACCACACCAAATGATCCCTATATAATAATAATAACAATAAAAATTTATTTTGTTTAAAATAATTTTTCAAAATAATTTTTTTTACCTGCACAAAAAAATACAATAAAAACGCGCCAATAGATATCAAAATTTGATTCCTAGAAAGTACATATAAAGGTACAAAACATCCAGCTAAAAATACTGAAATTATGATGGTACGTCTACGGCCTAAATATTCTGAAAAATATCCACAAGACATTCCTCCGATTATTGCGCCAACGTTTGCTATAATTAATGTTGTTGTGATTTGAATTGACGTAAATCCAAGTTGAAGTCGAAGAAATGTTGGATATAAATCCTGGGTTCCTAAAGAAAAGAAAAATCACTGTTAATTTTAATTTAATCTCAAACCCCCTCCCAATCATTATTATTTTAACTACCATGGGACATAAAACCAAAACCAGTCATTAACAATATGGTATAAATAAATCTTTTCCAATGATTTTTCAATACTAGTTTAATATCTGCTAACCATAATTTAGTACCACTACCACGACGATTAGAGGAAGAAGAATGATTATTTTTTTCGTGTCGTGATTTCCATACTGGCGATTCTGGCACAAAAAATCTTATGAATATTACTAGCAAAGCAGGAAATGAACCTATCCAAAACAGCGCTCTCCAACCTAGACTATCTATTACAAAATAATACACAACTGATGCTAAAAGATATCCAAATGCATATCCTTGCTGCAAAATACCAGAAAATATACTTTTTGAAAAACATATAGATTTAAAAAAATCGATAATGTAAATTATTTATATCTCTCGTTTTTCTTTTTCAACTCTCAAAAAATGGAATAAAAGCTTCCTACCCACGAGTTTCAGGTGGTAAAGTTTCCATTGCCATAGCAGCGCCTAAACCCCACTCACCACCCATTGCGATTCCAAAAATTGCTCTAAAGACCATGAAAATTGTAAAATTTGGAGCAAATCCTGATAATAATTCCATCAGACTATATAAAATTATATCAAGAATCAAAGGATATCTTCTGCCATAACGATCTGCTAAAAGACCAAAAATCGCAGCACCAAGTGGACGTAACATTAACGTTACCGTAATACTTGATAATAATAAAGAAAGATTAAAATTGAAAAGGTTCATGTTTATTTTTTTAATCATCAATTAATTCCTATTGTTTATTACCTTGCAGTGATTGTTGAAGGCGGCAATTTAAATTCTTCGGCGATATAAGATACAGTAAAATTGAGTATGAAAAAATCAAATGCGTCTAGGGTCCAACCAAGAAAAGCAGCAAGGAAAGTTGTACGTTGAATTGCATTTAATGAAATTAAGATTTTCCAAGGATTTTTTGGTTTTTCAATTGTTGATGTTAAATTATTATTGCTAATAATAATGTTGTTGTTGTTGTTGTTGTTGCTATTTGCAGATAATGGATCATCATCCACCTGAATCACACTATTGTCTTTAATGTTTTCTTGCCTCTTAGCATCATTTTTCGATGATTGATTAATGTTATCGTCGTTATTATTATTATTATTATTATTATTATTATTACTATTACTATGCGTCATATCTTTATTAAGTGTAAAATTAAAAAATTTTTCGCGTCATTTATTCAGTGCTTTAATAACAAAATTTCTGAGTGTGATCGTAAATCATGCTCGTGATCATGTTAACGAGTTGATTGGTATAATTTTTTGGTTAAAACTTCCTTTTTTTGGATTTAACTTTAATTATGTATTAAACCGAATTGTATTAATTGATATGAATAGAGTTTGGATCCATCAACAGATTTCGACCAACCCCAGTGTATTTATATTACAACTTGATTTCTCCCCATTTTAAATAGAAAATAAAGTATAGTGAATGTTGAAGCTTATTTTTTAATAAATAAAATAGATATTTCTTTAGTAACATTAAGTAATCAATCATATACAAAAAACGATGATTTTATGGTTGTGAAATTCGGAAATTAATACTATAATTATTATTTGTTCCAGAAATTAATTTGATGTTCGCATATAAAATAATAAATTCACACAAGTGAAATTTAAATTAGCCCAAAGTTTTTTTATTGTAAATGTTACGAATGAATGAATCCTACGCATGCATATATGGACTTTATTTCTATACAAGCAGATCATATATAAAACGTATGATATAACTACATACAATGTATAGTGCTCGTCTATCTATATATACCATAATATCTATGACGTCAAATGAAAAAACATCTTACTAAATAAAGTGTAATTTTTTTTTAATAAACCCTTTTTTGCTGTCTTAAGTAAACTTTTATACGTAATAAAAAGGATTGGATATGGTATTAATGGAATTATACAAAAAAACACATTTAACAAAAGGTCTTTCTTTGTTGTAACACGTGATATGTGATTAAAAGGCGTTGACAGCATACGAATTACATTAGAGGTTGGAATCGACTAAAATAGTCGACTAAACTTTTTTTGAACAACTAATAGTCGACTATCTTAGTCGACTAACACTCAACTATTTTAATCGATTATTTAGTCGACTACTAATACTACTAATACTAATACTAATACTAATACTATGCAAATATTACTATTGTCTGACCAATTACGATTTTTGTGTTTTATCATTCAAAATGGAAAATTTCTATGCGGAAGAGTATCGATACCATCAATATGACGATGACGACAATATTAGTGTGTTGATGATAATTTTACATGTGAATGAATAAACACTTCCAATACAAGGTCCAATAGTTCATTGGCTTCAAATTTCAATGATTTGAGCAGTGGCTCCAGAAGACCTTTAAAAAAACGAATCGTAACACATGGTTTTGTGTGAAAGTATTTTGAATAAGTGAAAGATTCAAATGGAAATGAATTCGTAATTTGCAAATTTTTAAAAAAAAAAAACGAAATATCATTATTATTTGTTATAAAAAAAATTTTAGTCGAATAAAATAGTCAACTAAAGTAATCAATTAATAGTCGACTAAAGAAAATTTTGACCAACTAGTAGTCGACTAAGGATTTTTTGGAGATTCCAACCTCTAAATTACATATATAAACTCGATAAGTCGGTTATGTGGGGATGAGCTCATATGACCGACTTATCGAATCAAATTACTTAAATATTAAGAAAAATGGGTGAAAATTTTGGCCGACTTATCGAGTTTACATATGTAATATGGTTTTAAAAAGTATCCTATAATTTTTAAAAAATAAAAGACGCGTAAAATTCTATTTTTCTATCTACACCATCAATTTTTAATCAAATTAATGTTGTGCCTATGATGTTCCAGAAACACCTGTTTACCTGTTCACGCGAGTTGCTCACTAGGGCGTACAAATTCTTATACAAATTATAGGTTTTCAAAAAACAAGCATGCTTTAGAATTACACTCAGGTTTAGTTGGAGAATGAGCCACCAAATTGGTTCCATCTGCAAGCCGACGGCTAAACATAATTATTCAGTCTTCCAAGAATGTGCTAAAATTATCAACGTATCACAACCCTTACCAATTGACTCAATTCCAAGGCCCTTTCCAACCATCAGAATTTCTAACAATTTCAATCACTTATAATCAAAATTCAAATCTTCACCTCCCTCCTGTTAATTCAAACACACTGAGACCACTTTCTTTGGTTATTCTTAACAGTGGCCTTCCATGATGAGTATTGCGGTAACCCAGATATAGAAACCCTAGCATTCTCAGACATTTTTTCTACTGAGAAAGGGCACTATGAAGACATGAAAAAACGTGTACCAGGTTTGCCTTTTACGTTGCATTCTTTAATAAAATAGACTATTTCGTTGCCAAATGGTGAATTGATTAGGTAGTCTAATAAATTACTACAAAAACATATAAATAGACCTGCTATCTTTCACTTGGTGATTTCAATATAATAAAATAATAATCTAAAATTGGAATTAAACATTCTTTATACTTTAAGTAGATAAATTCTCTCATTTTTGTTCTTTTAAATGCAATTTTATGTGTCAATAACCTTTTTTATTATCAAATAATGGCTTCTCAAAGAGCCCTATACTTTTTTGACTTTGGAAACACCATCATTTTCGGAAAGTGGTTTTATAAAGATCGTTTTGGCATGAGCAGATAGAGTACATTGAAAGCTTTTGGAAAATGTATGGTTTGTACAGTTTTTCTTGGAGAAAGAGGAAATTAAGTGCAAAAAATGGTTTTATAAATTATTAATAGTGGAAATTAATTTCATGAATTATTTTCTTTTATAATAATTAACATTTATAACCCCCTCAACTCGTTCCTCGTACTTAACTCTCTCACACTTTTTTACCAAAA